TTCCAGCTTTTTCTGCTTATGTGGTGCTGAGGAATTGAACCCAGGGCCTCATGTATACAAGGCAAGCACTCTACCACTGAGCCACCTTCTCAGCCCTGAGATTTCATAATTCTTAATTTTTTGTTGATAAAGTTACTTTTATAAGAAATTATAAACTACTGAAACTTATTTGGACTTTGTGGGGGTGAATTTGACAATACATTTAAAAGTGCTATTTAAAAGTCATCCTTCTGATAAGAAAGCTGAGTTATTTGACTTTTCTCTGCTTTAATCACCACAGTAACTACCTTCAGACCATCTTATTACTCAGAGTTGCTTCTTGGTGTCATATCCCTCTAGAATGCAGGGCATTTTGTATTGATTGTATTCTGATGACGTGACAAAGAGGAAGATATGATGAAAAGTAGGAAAATGACAGGTTTACTAATGACTGCAGGACCTATTTCTGGCAAAATGAAAAATTAAGCCCATCCAGATGATTATCAGTATAAAATTGTGTTTACAAATACAGTAGCCTTGTTTGAATGTATGCTGTGAATGAAACATTACCACTATAATTCATAGCATCAACACAGTATAGAGGTGTGCATATATGCTTTGCGTGCGTACGTTCATGCGTGCGTGGCGTCCGTTTACGTGCTTGGCATGTGTGCGTGCGTGCATGCGTGGTGGTGGTGGCGGCGGCGGCAGAGGAGAACCGCAGTAAACAGAGCGGTAGTAGAAGATAATTTCGGGAAGCTTCATTCCTAAATAGAAAAAAAATAAATCTCTGTGACTTTTACAGCCAGAAACTTGAAATATCTTGAAATTTCCAGTGGCTAATATAAGTGAAAGAAAACAGTGTAGAAAAATATTGCAGGTAATGTATGAACCTGGTGTCAATGAGAATGAGACTATTATTCGGTTGAAGTTAGAATCCCGAAGGCTGAATTATAGCACTGGTTCATCACAGCGTGACTTCGTTTTTAATGGCAGCACGTCCTTTGTGAAGTTGATTGGACCAGCCAGGGGGAGGTTTCCAATGTTGTAATCCCAAGATTTCAGCATTATTTTGTAATACTCTCTGGTCACTGTTGAGAGACTGACGCTTAGTATCTTCTTTCCATTTGCTCTTGTACCTGCTGATTTGTCATTCCAGGGTATGGACAGGACCCCTAAGCTGAAGGTCTCCCAGAGGAGGATGCTAAAGCTCCATGCGCCACTCAGAACGGTATCTTCCCTAACTAAGAGCTTCTGGTGCTGTCCATTTAATGGGAATCTGCTTTAAGTCAGAAGAAGAATATATACCACCATCCTCTTGATGAGACATTCCAAAGTCACTGATTTTCAGAACATTATTTTCACCGCCAGGCATTTTCTTGCAGCAAGGCCCCTGTGCATACAATTTTTACTCGAGATACGCCATCCAGAAGCAACATCTATTGAAAAATTCACTGAAGTTTAGTTCATCCTTCTTATAAAGGAGAGGAAATCAACTCCTGGAACTAGTTCCTTAATGATGTAGATAGGCTGTCTTTGTAATCATGTGGTTTGAGGATTTTGGCTTCTTTAAAATTTTTTAATTTCTGTTGTTCCTGAGAAAGATCTTCTTTATATATTTTAACAGTAACAGCAATTTTATCTTTGCTTTTGCCGTTAAATATCTTGTCAAAGTTTACCTTGCCCAGTAACTCACTTCATATGACATCTTCATGGTTGAGAACCCATATCTAATTCTTCTGAGTTATAGTCATATGGATACCATGATGATCTTTATTAGAACGTTGGCTTTTTAATTGAAAAAATTGATCTAAACTATCCATCTTAAACTGCCTAATTGAGGAGTCTTTATATTTCCTATGTTGTGCATTCACCCCATTGTGTAATGTCAGAGCATGTCATCTTCAAAAGAAGCCTCAAATGTGTTAATCACTTTTTTAATTTAATTTTTTTACTTTAATTACTTTACAGGTAGGTTCTTGAATTTTTGTTCCAGGCCAACCTCAGACCGTGATCCTCCTACCTATGGCCTCCCACATAGCTGGGAAGATAGGCATGTACCACTATGCCTGGCATATTGGTTGAGATGAGGTCTTGCTAACTTTTTGCTTGGGCTGGACTTGAACTGCGATCCTCTCAATCTCTGCCTCCTAAGTAGCTGGGATTACTGGCATGAGCCTCTTAAACCCAGCAGCAGTCATTTTTAATACTCCCCTTCCCTCTGCCTCTGGAACTACTAATGTACCTTCTGTCTATGATTTTGGATATTTCATATAAATGGAATCATGTAATATTGTGGCCTTTTGTGTCTAGATTCTTTTGCTTGGCATCATGTTTTCAAGATTCATCCATGTTATAGCATGTATCAATGCTCCATTCCTTTTTAATGCTAAATATTTCACTGAATGAATGTGTATCATATTTTGTTTATTCATTATTTGATGGACAGGAACAATAAGTTTTTAAGTATTAAAATTATAAGTTTAACATCAGTGTATCTGCAATTATAATCGATAATGTCAAGGTTATACAAGATGTGAACAGAATGATGTGTAGAAATGATGTAAATTATTTGTCAGCATTTCATGCAAGTGTGATTATTTTCTAAGGCCTCTTCTCACTCTGATATTATGAAATATATGAATGTAGTATTTTCATCAATAAAATTTGATGCATTAAGCATTAGTTTAAAATTTGAGTGAGCAATGTTAGGCAGAAGAATAATTTGCTACATATTGTAATCATGTTTTGAATTTATTTCATTATGCAGTATTTGAAAAATGTCAATACATAAAAGAAAGGAAATGAGTATAATTGAGTCAATATATTTTTAAAGCAATTTTTATAATTTAGCAGACATTGCATCTTAATATAAGTCACTATTAAAATTGTGTCCTTGCAAAGAATGTGACGTCATTTTTTTTCTTTTTCTTTTGGGTTGATCATCTAAAATAGGTTCCTTTTCTTTACTACATGTTCTGTGTTCTTTTTATTTTTGATAAGCTATTGTTTGTCCTGCTAGTGTTTTACTTGACTATTTTCTTTTTTTCTATATCTGCATCTTTTCTCTTACATACAATTTTAAATGTTTAGTTGTTTTTAAAAGTCATGATATGTCTTTTTTCATGGTTTGTAACAATGGACAATGAAAAGACACCAATATTCCTTCCTTTTTTTCTCAGAACTTAATTCAAGCTTTTGTTGTTGATAGAATTCACTTTCCTTTCTCAACTTTTCTTCCTTCCTCTTTCCTTTCCCCCTTTTTTTCACTTTACTGTTTCTACTCTTTTTCTGCCCACTGTCTCCTTTCTTCCTTTTTTCTCCTCGTCTCTACCCATCTTTCCTCCCTCCCTTCCTTCCTCCTTCCTAATCTGTCATTTTAATCACTTTATTTTTTTCAGGTGAGATTGGAATGAAATTACTCAGCTGTGAGCAGAAATTTATTTCCTGAGTAGATTGCCAAGAATTATGAAGAGGGCCATTTGTACCTTTTAAAATTACTCAGTTATCTGCTTCTTTGCTCTATGTGAAACACCTACAATTGTTGAGTTATGCATTACTGTATTTTGACTTCTCGCTTAGTTTCTACATGATTATTTTCAGTAATGGCTGAAAGTGTTCATTGTTCCATATTTTAGCACAATGTGCTAAAACTTCTCAAATAGCAAATAAGGTTACATGTATACAGGATTTCACTTTTCATTAAATATTGCCTAGTTTTAGTCTCTACCCATCAACCCCCAATCTGAAATGCTTCCTTTTTACTGTTTGAAATGGAAAATAAACAATTATTGAACCATTTTCAATTTACCTCATTTTAAAAGTGAAGTTTTAATTTATTTGGCCTGTTTTTCATATGAGTCACTAAAAATAAAGTGGGAGCTGTCTTGTGCAATGCCTAAGAATTATTCTGTATGGTACACATACATTAAAACCTTTTAAACAAAATGATACCAGCGCTCACTTGTCCCTAGACATTTTTTGTTGTAATTAGAGACAAATTTGGGGGGGTGGGAAGTGAAAATTTTCTTGTGCTTTAATCTACAGCTGTAGAAGCTTTGTACTGCTTTAGTCTGGAAAAGTCTCAAATTTTTAAGGGATAATTTTTTAAGCTACTGAATTCTACCCGTGTAACATTTTTCTAAATAAACAATAGTTTTCTCAAATGATTGTATATTATTGTGTATACTTTTGCTTATTTAGAATAACTTGGCAAAGATAATTCAATAAACTTTGTAGCCCTTCTCTATGGGCTACACAATTGTCAAAATATCCTATCATCTAATAATGTGATAAACATCTTTGTTTATGTAGTGAGCTTTAAAAGCATGCCTACAAACAGCTATTTAATGTTCCATGATACCTATACAAGATAAATTTCAAATATATTTCAAGGAGTAAGAAGTGTTGAGCCTATCTGGAATGACAAATGGGTATAAATCTTGTCACATTCAAGTAATTGTAATCACAGAAAATGATGACTGTTAAGCACTCGTTATGTGGCTAGCCTAAGACAAAAATTGAAAGTGATTTTTGCATTTGGGAAAATAACTGATTCACATTGCTATCATATGTTTAAAACATTATGGTAAGAGTTTTCCAGTGATGTTGCATTCACATTTGAAAGCTGGTGGTAGTAAGCATCAATACCTTTTGTCATTGGTGAGACAAGGTCTTTTCAGTCTCCTAAATGCTGAGATAACAGGTGTGCATCACTACACATAGCTATCTCTACCTGTTTCCCATTTACTGAATAGAGATAATCTTTGATTGTGGCTTTGCTATAAATGGTTTCATTTTGTAATTATGCATAATGTTGGTAGTATGGAATACATGCTTTTGCATTGTGATAAAGTGTACTCTGGTCTAAGTGCAAAAGGTATAAGAACCAGATACTGTTCCCATGGGGCTCCACTCTAATTTGGAAATTATAGACCTAATGAATACTATCAAACATTTAAGGTAAAACACCAGTTAGTAACTATTTGAGGCTTTGTAGCTTGTGTGCTCCTCTTGGAACTTGTCAACTCTGCCATTGTATCATGGATGCCAACTTAAATGATAAAAAATGACCATGGCTTAATTCAGGAAAATTTTATTTGTCAAAATGTAGAATTCTGAAATTTTTCCTGATAACCTCTTCTTTCTATAGAAAGTGAAGTCTCCTTCATGATTTTTAAAAAAATTGCATGTGCCTCTTATGTACTAGAGATAGAACCAGGAGCAAAACATGCCCCGTCCCTCAGGGGCTGTTCATTCCTATTAATAAAAATAATGAATGTATAGTGTTAGGTAGAAGGAACTATAATGAGGAAAAATGAATGGTGGGGAAGGCAAGACAATACATTATATACAGAGTAGTTACAGAGAAGATGAACAAATCAGGACATTTGTGGTGGCCAGCACAAGGTGGACATTCCCAATAATATAAGCATGAGAGAGCTCTGTCATTCAACCCATCTTTGAAAGCTTTACATGGAAATCATGTAATATGCAGAATCAGTCCTAGAGTGTGGCGTTTAGACTTGCTATTTTCTAAAAAGGAAATTTTGACCTTAGACTCATTAATGGCCTCGAGGGATATTCATGTCCTCCTGACTTGTTTGCAAGTTTGTGATAGTGTGCCCTAGTCTAACAGTGGTTTTCATGTAACTCTAAAGATAAAGATGTAAGTATTTTTCCTTTTTCTCCCTGGGTCTTTTTTTTTTTTTTTTGCCAGTGCTGGGACTTAAATTCAGAGCTTGGGCAGTGTCCCCAAGCTTCTTTTGCTCAAGTCTAGCAGTCTACCACTTGAACCACAGCACTACTTCTGCCTTTTTCTGTTTATGTGGAATGGAACCCAGAGCATGCTAGGCAAGCACTCTACCACTAAGCCACATTCCCAGCTCCCTGGGTCTTGTCTCAAAGAATTTATCTTTATAACCTTAAATCTGTCTGAGGCTTGTGAAGATTTGGAAGACAGCTGATGTTCTAATTTTGGTTTAATGATAATAACTATCTTACCATAGCCATGAGTATTAGCTGATGGCTGATACCTCAGTTCATGCTACTGAAGGATTGTCCATGTAAAATGTGATGTAGGCACAGATTTTTGATGATTAGGTTGAATAAAAATTATTTTTGAGAATATGGAACAAAGTATATAAGCTGGTACTTAAAATGACCCTATATTTTTCTCAGCGTACTTTTAACGGGTCTCAAAATTCTGTGACAGATTTTTTGCTTTTTTCCTTTAGAA